ATGTCAACTCTAATCATGTTAAGAATCACTGGTTCTAGTGTGCCATATTCTGGGAACCGGAGGATCCCAGGTCACCCTGGGCTTTGCAGCTTGCTTGCTAGATTACCTGTCTCCCGACTACTTAATTATAAAACGATGGCAGTTTATTTCCAAGCTCTGAATATAATTGGATCTATAATATGTGCCAAGTCCTGGGTTCTGCGCCCAGACAGTAGGAGTAAAATATGATCTTCTTTATTGTTCCTTAAAGAACTTATGAATGTGGTAGGGAGAATATGATAATTTCATGGCAGAATGTGGCAGTGTTGTAAGGTGAATGATAGGCGTGGGTGGTCAGGGAGTGGAGACTTCTGATTCAGAAAGACTTCATAGAGGACGAGGCATTTGCTTTGGACTCTGAGAGATCTATATGATTTGTTTTTTATATATTTTTTTAAGAGGCTGGAGTGCAGTGGCACGATCTTGGCTCATCACAACCTCCGCCTCCCGAGTTCAAGTGATTCTTCTGCCTCAGCCCCAAGTAGCTGGGACTACAGGCGCATGCTACCACACCTGGCTAATTTTTGTATTTTTAGTAGAGATACGGTTTCACCATGTTGGCCAGGCTGGTCTCAAGCTCCTGACCTTGTGATCCACCTGCCTCGGCTTCCCAAAGTGCTAGGATTACAGGCGTTAGCCACCGCGCCCAGCCGAGATCTGTATGATATTAGATGGTAGGGTTGGGAGTGGGAGAGAAGAGCGCACTCCTGAGAAAGGGAACTTTTTGAGCTTTCAAATGGACCCTGTCCAGGGCCTGTAATTGGGGTTGGTGAGGGAGTTTGATGTGAGATACAGCTGGAGGAGACAACTAGAGTGACTGAGTGAAGTCATGTTTACCTTCTAGTAAGTGTGATGATAGTGATCCTTGTCAGGATCCTCATCAGAAATCAACCTTCTCCAAAATAGGCTGACAGACTTAGGGCAGCAGTGTAAACTAGAACTGCCTGTTATCGTTAAATATTATTACAGAAACGCTGTGAGCACACATTAAGCTTTTCAAGGTCACCCCCAGTTTTTAGTTTTAAGGACTTGACGTCTGTTTTAAGAGTAGAATATAGGCCAGTGCAGTGGCTCACAGCTGTAATCCCAGCACTTTGGGAGACTGAGGCGGGTGGATCACTTGAGTCCAGGAGTTCGAGACTAGCCTGGGCAACGTGGTGTAACCTCGTTTGTACAAAAAATATAAAAATTATCCAGGTGTGGTGGCACCCGCCTGTAGCCCTAGCTACTTAGGAGGCTGAGATGGGAGGATCACTGGAGCCTAAGAGGCAAGGTTGTAGTGAGCCAAGATTGTATCACTGCACTCCAGCCTGGGCAACAGAGTGAGACCCTGCCTAAAAAACAAACAAAAAAATAAAAACCAGCCACTTTCTCAGAGTATACTGCCACGTGGTCAGTCCAAGATTGGTAATTCTGATTTAGTCATTAGGTTGACACCTAGTTGTGTAGCTTTAGTCAGCACATTCTTTATTTGCCATTCTTGTCATGAATCTAGCACTTAACTGGATAGAATTCCAATTTTACAATATGGGAACTGAAAGATTCATTATGGAGCTCTCTCCCTCCCCCTTACAAATGAATTCAGGTCTGCTGCTGCACAGCAGCTGCAACACTCAGCGTGGACTTGATTATTTATTCAACCAACATTTCTTTTTTTTTTTTTTTTTTTGGAGACAGGGTCTCATTCTGTCACCCAGGCTGGAGTGCAGTGGTGCAACTACAGCACCTGCCACCATGCCTGGATAATTTTTTTTTAAGAGCCAGGGTTTAGCCATATTACCTAGGCTGTTCTCGAATTTCTGGGCTCAAGCAGTCTGCCCACCTCAGCCTCCCAAAGTGCTGGGATTGCAGATGTGAACCATGGCACCCAACCTATTTAACCAACATTTCTTAATGACCTCTGTATGCTAGAAATCAGGGATACAGGGCCGGACATGGTGTCTTACACCTATAATCTTAGCACTTTGGAAGACCGAGGTGGGAGGATCATTTGAGCCCAGGAGTTCAAGACCATCCTAGGCAACATAGCAAAACCCTATCTCTACAAAAAAAATTTAAAAATTAGCCAGTCATGGCTGTGCGTGGTGGCTCACGCCTGTAATCCCAGCACTTTGGGAG